TCCAAACGATTGGCTATTAAACCTAGAAATTTTTTATTTTTTCCATTTTTTGCAAAAAATTGTAATGTACCCCCTTAAAAAAAAAATGCAAAAATTGATCAAAAAATAAATTTCCCGGAAAGTGATGGGATTCGTTAGTTTAGGTCGTTTGCTGCTCAAAACAGTCGGTCTTTTAGCTGTAGGCCTTTAATTGTCCAAGCTACGAGCTAAAAAGCCATTTTAATCGATTTAAAATTTCGATAATTCCGAAATTTTCCCACCAAGCGAAATTTATTAATGTGATAACTCTGCTTTCGGTTAATTTGATTAACTTAATTGACACTCGATGCGCCCCATTTGCATAGCAATCATCCCCTATATAAACCCCCAATTCATCAGATATGTGGCAGATATGTAATCATGATGTCGACCGCAGAGTGCGTGGCATAATGATCTTATGTTTCCGTTGGTTTTTGCGGTCAGCTCGTGAATGCGGATTGCACAAATTGTTAACTCGGCCACTGGAACTAGTGCTCTGTCTCTCATTTCTCAGTCTGGTCAATTTATACATATGTAGTGTATGTATGGATGTATGTAATTGTTTTAAAATTGTCACAATTGCTGCTCCTTTGGGGGCGTGGCAAGCAACAAGGGCAAGGTTGCTGCAGTTGACAAGCCGCAGTGGCAAGCGTTTTAAAAATTTATGCTGCACAGGGCACAGGCAGAGGCACAAGGACAAAATGGAGAGGGGATGATGATGGTTTCAACCAAAAAAAGGGGTTGGGTCAGGGGTTCCAAAAAGAGGTTAGTTAACATATGACCTGCTAGGGTCCGAGCCTCGGTCCATGTCCTGCATCCGGTTTCCACACAACAATAAAACGACCGAACGACGCAACACTTATGTTGGTTTACTTTTGCTGCTAGCCTTTCCCCATTTTCCAACCCAAACCCCCCTTTTGGCCACACAATAAAGTGCCCCCAGCAGCCAAGAAAACTGCTGTAGCTGAATTCCAGCAGCGTGACAGTTGCCGTTGAAATATATAACCTTCAATGCAGAAAGTCCACAGGCAGCCTCTACAGTCCACAATATTAAAGGAAAAAATAAAATAAAAAGAAAAAACGGCACCTATTGGATACAACATTTATTCTTAATTTTCTTCACGGAGTCATTGATTATCTCACAATATTCCTTATAAATAGGCGGTATGGTATCGCTTTAGTTTTAGTCCTTTATCTGATTATTCCTTTTTTTTAATTTCGTTTTTTCCGATTACAAGATTTTTCAGTGAGTATACAGAAAAAAATGGACAAAATTATATTTGTAAAGATTAAGTTATTCATTTTATGTTAATATGAATAAAGTTTTAGTTTATCTTATTTATTACCAATAATGTAAAATTGTTCAAAATACAATATTTGTTATTTTAAAACAGGGGTTTTATAAAATAACTGATATGATCGCCTTTATTATTGATATGAGAATTTAGAGAATTGACAGTGCGACTTTCTAGCATTGTGGGGTTTTCGGCATTTTAATTTTGTTTGTTGCCTTCGCATGTGTTGACCATGACATGAACTCGTGTGTGACGAAAACAAATGACTGACGCAGATGTAATGGCACCCCGTTTTCCGACCAACTCACCGCCCAGTCTCTTTCTGTTTCTAATTAAAGGCCATGTAAAGGAAAAAAGATGGCGTCAAAAGAATGCACAAACTGTGGAATTTAATTTTATAAAAAAGAAAATAAAAAAAAAGAAATAAGAAAAGAAAGATAGCGAAATGAAATTAATGGATTCCGTGTCTCCTCTCACCGTCTCTTTCTGGCACTCTTGCCGTCTTACTTCTTCACTTCTGGTGACCATAATCACAGCTGCATTGTGTATAGCAATTAAAGCAACAACTGCAACAACAAAAAAAAGGGGAAGAAGTGAAGAAAAACTGAGGAAAAACTGTTGGAAAAATCACGGCGAAAAAAGGGGAAGAGGAGAAAGTTCTTGTTGTTTGCTGTTTTAATGGTTTTCAATGATTAAATTGTTGATAACAATTTTAAGCTGTACTCGTTCAGGCAGCACTCGCCCTCTCTAGCCATCTCTTTCGCCCTCCCTATGGTCATCTCTTTCGCACTCCCTACAGATGTATATAAAAATGTATATCTGTTTGTGTGTCCCTCGTTAGCATCTTGTTGTTTTTGTTGTTCCTGGACTAACTTTGTACAGACTATGGGCCATGTAAAGTTGAACATGGGCATAACAATGTGCCCTTAACTTGGCCCACAGACTGCAGTTTTGTGCCCCGTCTCTTTTTAACCCTTTGTAGCTGTCTCCCTCTCTCTCTCTCTATCTGGCTATCTTGCTGTCCCTGTCTCTGTCAATTTCAATGTGCAATTACTTGGAATTTGTTTGAAGTTTTCCAAGCAGCAGCCGGAAAAGTTTCTTCCTTTTTCCCCTCGCACACATTAAAAATTTAATTAGAGAGTGCCTCGACATCAGAAATCAAAACAAATCGGGCGAAAAAGTTTTTCAGCAAATTGAGCCGAATGAGAATTTTCGGTTTGAGTTGCATAATCTCTGCCTGTCATCCTTAATTTATTGAGGGCATTCATTAGCCGAGTGATTTACTGTTAAATGTTGAGCTTTTAATTTGTCAGCTGATGTACAAAAACTTTTCAGCCCTCTTTGTCAAATTAAATATGGCCAAGTTGGGAAATATATACATATATTATTAATTAAATTACAATATGCCAATTATTTGTTTAATTTATCAAAAATGATTTAAAATGTGTTTTTTAATTTTTTATGTTTGTTGTATTTATTTTTTTCTTTAAAAGAGAGCCAATTTGCCAAGTAAAAAGTCATTTCTTTCCGTGCGTTGACTTTGATAAACTCCTTTATTTCGTATATCCTGTTTTGGCCTTCTCAATTCGTTTCGCGGCTTATGCATTCTCCTCTGTGTTTTGTCCTCCGCTTTGGGGGTCCATTTGGGACCCGAGGCCCGCTTTGTCATGCTAAGGGTTAAGCCGAAGTGGTTAGAAAGAGGATTTGAGAACAGGGTTGGGCATAAATAACGACACGTTGTGCATTTTGATGGGGACCCCTGTTTTTTTTTCTTTCGCTTGGGGATTGGCCACGGTATATTACTGAAGGGGGTTCTCGGAAAAAAAGGGGAGATCCCGACCCTGACTTCGGTTTAGCCCTTTTCCGCATCATTGCCCCACTGTATGGCCAAAGAAAAAAACGAGGGTTGCTGTGTAAAACCACACGAAAATTCTTTTATGATTATTATTCGTACTTTTTTCGTTGATTTTTATGATTATTATGACTTCGATGCCAGTTAAATGATTGTAAATATCTATCGAAGTCATGTCGAATCTGTTCAATTGAAATTTTAACCTCGGAAAAGGGCACTATTTGCCCCCGAATGAAGTTGTTTACATTGGAGCTCAAGTCCATTACATTTTCATGGCTGTCAGTTTATCAAATATGCGAAATATTTCAAAAAATATATTTCAATTGCCTAGACCATTCGAATCCAACAGTAATCGGTATAATAATGACAGCGGCAGCCCGAAAAACCGAAAACTATTGGCATGCCGGGCTAGTAAATAAAAGAAAAAGCAGGCAAATTTATTTGCTGCTTTGACCATAAAAAGTGCAACAAAACCTCGAATGAAAACAATTGTTTTACAGAGCAGCAAAAGGGGATGCAAAAATAGTGCAAAATGTCCAATGCAAAAACAAGCATATTTCATCTTACTTCAAACTTCAATTTCACCATGAATAAGGCATTAGTTTGAGTCGTTCTGTGAGTTAATTCACATTTATGCACATTCAGTTGCCAGACAGTTTGAACTGGCTCTTAGGGGTAATAACGTATCGATTAAATGTAGAGAAGTTCCAGTAATATTTACCGGACCTTATTAAGTATATATATTCTTGATCAGGATCACTAGCCGAAAATGCCATTTTGTTGTGTTTATTAATACCTATCGAAATGTAGAAGAAAATTTTCAAATCGGACAATCCTTTGAAAAGTTATGAGCAAAAATAAAATGACCGCTAGATGGAGCCAGTAGCTTTGACGACTTTAGCTCGTTCTCTCTTGTTTTTCCTTTAAAAGGTAGTTTTTGTTTCTTTTTCTAATTTAACTATTTGTGCCTTTGAGTATTCCTGACATTTTGTGTCGTCCCTTATCATTTTGTTTAAAAAGTTGCCGGCTTTTATATGCGAGGGCTTTACGAGCTGTCCTATGGAATCGACAATCCCTTGGGGTCTCGAGTTTTATGCTTCTTTTATGAATTCGAAATTTCAGCACACTCACACCGATGCCAAAAAAGCCATTGCAAACTTTTCACGAACACACACACACACACGCAGAGCACAATAAACATTAAAAACAAAGCTAGAACTTTGGTCCACTATCTGCTTAGCTGCTGGCCAGATCTGCTGTAAATAATTACATATAGTATATAACCGAAATACACTTTTTCAAATATACATATAGATATATATATATAGACGTAAATGTACTGGTATGTGTATGTGTCAATGTATGTGCGTTTGCCTGCCTGTTCCTTAAACTATAAAACAAGAGCACACGAGAAATCTTTAAAAACAATCAAATAAATAAAAATAAATATATTGTATGTATAAATAACATATTTAATTTATGCAAATGAAAAGTGCGCAGAGGGCGAAAGAAAGCCGACAAAACAAACGCCAAACAAATTTGAAATTAATTTGCATTGAATAACAAAGGAAACGCTTCGGTTTCAATTTCAGCCAAGGATAAAGCCCAACCCCTAGACAAAAAAAAGAAAAAAAGAAAAGAAAAAAAACTGATACAAAAGAGAAGCCAAATGAGGGAAAATGAAGTGCCAAAGTGTTGAAAATAAAGCGAAAACCAAGAGACGAAATTGAAATCGAGTAGAAAAGGTATTTTCCGTTTCGTTTTTTCTCGGTGACGCGCGTTTCGTTTCGTTTCCGTTTCGCTTCGTTTCGCCACGTTCCGTTCCGTCTCGTTTCCGTTCCATTTCCGTTCCGTTTCCGCTCGGCAAACATTTAAATGGCTACCAGCTGCTACTTATGATGGAGACATTCCTCGTCCTGGGCCTGTGTTTCATCCTGTACGAGGCATTGGATTTCTTTCAGGGCTGCATCCACAGTAATACCCCATCGCCGAGCGACCAAATCGAGGCCTATCGCCGCGAACTCGACGAACAGCGCCAGCAGCAGCAGCAGGAGCAGTTCCTCGCCGGATTGACGCCTCTGCTGGGCGCTCAATTTGCAGCCGCCGCCGCCGCAGCCGCGGCCGCTGCCGCCGGTTCGCAGTCGACGCTGGGCAGCACGACCACGCCCACCGCCTCCACGGCCAGTGTTATAAGTGATTCGTACGATCAGGAATCGCAATCCCAATCGCAATCCCAGTCGCAATCCAATCAGAATCAACATCATTCTTTGAGCACTCCCGGTCTGTTTCGTCCCGCCGCCTTGGGATATTACGATCCCGAGGATCCGCTGCATGCCACCAACTCGCTGCCCCGCGACTACTACTATCTGCAGCAGCAGCAGCTGAAGAATAAAGTGAGCTCGAGATCGCTACTCTCGAAATTCTCATCGACCAACTCGGATAATCGCATTCATCCGGAGGCGGGAGCCGGTTCGGGACATCATCACAGTGTCCTGGGACAGGCGGCTGTGATAACCAGTCAACCTTTGCCCGGTGGCGAGATACCCTCGAGTCTCTTCGATCAGCCGGGACAAGCGGCTGTGGTGGTGCCGCCATTGCAGCTGCAATCGCCGCTATTTGTGGAGCTAAAGAGGGCTATTATAAGCCAGAATCAGAATAAAAATCACCAGAGATCCGAGCAGAAAGCGGAGCCCGAGGACTCACAGTGTCCGCAGTGCGAGGAGGAGCAGCAGATACAATATCTGGCCGAGAATCTAGACGATCTTGTAGAGTCCGAGGAGCAGCAGTATTCGCCAGGTGAAGAGGACGAGGAGGAGGAGGACGACGACGAGGAGGAGGATCAGGACGATCGGGAGGAGCAGCACTCGTACGTGGGAGGAGCCACCAGTGAGCCGGATATTTGTGCGGCCACGCGACAACAGCTGTTGACCAGGATCCATCACATCGCCATCGACGACATCGCCACCGGACAGGAGCATCTGCATCATCACCTCAGCGTTGCGGGAGAAACGACACTAAGCGCCAATTCGCACGCCGACTTCAGGGAAATCGAGTGCGAGCGACTGCGACGCAAGTGCGTTAGCGTTAAGCGCATCTATAGCATATCGGAAAAGTTCTAATTCAGATCAGATCACCACTCAGAATCAATTCGATAACTCAGATATCATACCTGTACAGCCCTACTCACCATATTGCACTTCAATCGATCTCAAAATATATCGAAAATATCGAAAAGAAAAGCCAATCGAAATCAAAAATCGCCTAAATCAAAAAGAAAAAAAAAACCAATCAAAAATCAAAGCCAAATCAAATCGAAATCAAATTTTCAAATTCAGCAATCACCAACAATCGAACCAAATGCAACCAAAATCACAAAATTGTCCAAAGCGAAACACCCCACACAAGGTTAGCAAAAAGTAAAAAAAAAAAAGAAAAACATAAGCCAACAAACTGAAAAAAGAAAGTCTAACAAGAAAAAAAAAACGAAATGGAACCTTAACCAAAAAGCAAAAACCGACACAAAAAAGAAATCTAATAGGAATTTTCAAAAATATATTTAGTCTAAAAATATGAATTTGCACAACATTTCTCGAACATGATTTCATTCTCCGCATTTCTTATTTTTTATTCACCTGCCTGTTCTTTTCTCTTCACCCTTCACTTCAGGCCCTCACATTTGGTCCTTCGGCGTGCACTCTTCACCATAGAACGGTTATAGTTTTCACCTTGATTCAACTGAGAAATATTAAGCATATATCACCGATCACCCCTAATTAGCCGATTTGCTCAGAGAAGTGCTCACCACATGAGTATTTTCCACCTTTTTGCACTTTTTTCTATTGTTTTAAATCAGAATTACGTTTTTTTAACCCACTGGACAAGAGAATAACCGGCACCCACCCACCGTTTATACGTAAATCACCCGAATCCTTTCTTCATAGCGCACCAATCCACCCAAAAAAAAAAACCTCTCTCTCCTCTCTCTCTCTCTTTATCTCTATCACACACATTTGCCAGCAATTTGTCACCTGTTTTTTCTCTCTCTGTATTGTTAAGCCCGGCTCTAATAATTCCCAACTTTTTGCAGCTGCGAAACCACTCAACACAATCGCACACGTGTGGTGTCCGAAGAGTACTAGTAAGGTTACATCCGAAAACTACTATAACATACAGATTCTTGCATATTTTATTTCGAGAAAAGGATGCCGATATATTTTTTTAATATTTTTTTTTTATAGTTTTGTGCTGAGTGAAAGAGAGAGAGCGCACAGTTTAAAATTCTACCTTCCATGCGGCTGGAACTCTCGAAACTTTTTACTTTTGTTTAGATTGTTGGGTTAACTTCTACCTCGCTTTAATTTTTTCTAGTTTCTGTTTCTGTTTCCTCTCTCTGCCATTCTTTTTTTTCCTTTTCCCAGTTTTTTTTCGTCCTGTGAGAATTCCTTGGGTCTAAAGCCACTTGGGGGACTGAACAACAAATATGCTAACTAGTTGGCTTTGGCCAGGTCTTTGTGCCAGTCTCTTCATTCCTGGGATGGCTTTTAAACCTCTGCTTTCGAGTGTTATGCAAAGTAAATTGTACATAATTGTCAGGACTAGCAAAACACACTCACACTCATAGACTCGCACACACACACACACACACAGATGACTATCTCACATATATGCAAATGACAGGAGCTGAAGCCGAGGACAATGACTAATTTTGCTGTCATTGTTGGAGGAAAAATAAAAAAAAAAAATGGGGAAAATGGAAAGGAAAGGGAATAGGAAAGGGGAGAAAGGGGGAATTACTATCATATCTTACAAATTGTGGTCCCCTCCCCTGACCATTTACTACACATATACATATATGTGTATATCCTTTCAATTATTCGATATGTGGTAGAATTTTCTTGTTGTATTCTTTTATTCCTCGGACCTCGTTTTCATCTCCAGTGACCATGTGTGTTTGTATATCCTTGGCCCGCATCAAGTTAACTTTCCCCACATGTCCTTCTTCATCTCTTTCTCTTTTCTATCCCTCTTTCAACCATTTGTCTCCCCCTTTTGTGCTCGGCGTTCAACGTTCAACGTTCGTAATCTTTTGGTCTTTTCTTCATCATCGTTTAGCTTGATGTGGTTTTCCCCGACTTAATCAGTTTTACTATTGTTTGTTTTTACCAAACACACACGCACACACACACACAGCTACCCTCTTTCCAAATGCGTGCGTGTATACATATATGCCACATATAACATGCATACACATATGCGTAAATAGCACTGAAAATATTTACTTTTAAAAATTTCATTACATTTTATGTACTTTCCATGCATTTCACAAAATAAAATAAAATAAAAAAATTATTAAAAATTGATCTTGAATTTGGATTTTTAAGTTTTATAAAAACAAGAAAAGATGTGCTGTTATTTTGACCACAACTGTATTTTTATTAAAAGATTTTTTTTTTTGAGTTTAGAAAAGAACTCTATGATTTTGCTTCTGTGTTCGACTGGCAGGAACTGGCAATTATATTGTGAGGAGGGTGGGGTTATGCCCATAAATGCTACATCATGGCAAGTATTTAAGCCTTGGAAAAGCCTCTCTCCCCGTTTAACTCCCAGAACCAGAAACACATTCATCTCGGCCTTAACCCGCTTACAAAACCATTCCCCCGTCGATTTCGTCTTTTTTTTTTGGGTTCTTGTGTTTTGACGTTTTCGTACATTCAAGGGCGATATTCTTCTGCATCATTAACCCTCTGCCTCTAACCGGCATGAGAAATGACCCACAGCCATGCAGTCACGGTCAGCTTAACCCATTCGTGCCAGCTATCTCTTGCGAAAATTCACAAAATCAAATCAATAGTCGGCCAAGTGAAATTAATTTCGCTTTAAGGAAATTTAAGTGAAACAAATGCTCCCTACTTACACTCAACTTAATTTACCCTAATCCGAGTGTGTGTGTGTGTGTGCCTGTGTGCCGTTTTTAGCCCCCACTCATCTATCGTGGGTTAATTCCCAAAGACGTATTAGCCCGGCGAAATTTATCCAACTCAATTAATCTCGGCGTTCTGTTCTCTGACTTTACAGAATTGATAGCTTCGTGCGAAGGGGCGTGGCTGCGGCGCCCCTTTTTGTGATTTATACTCGATTTTGCTACGTGTTTGGTTTAGTATTTTTTGTAGATTTTTGCTAAAATCCAGTTGGTTTTTTATGCAAACTATTGGACTCTTTCGATAGGTACGAAATGTAAAATAATTTTTTCAAATCGGACCATTCGTTAAAAAGTTATGAGCCAAGAAAATAATGGAATTCAAGCAGTGCAAGCAGTTGCTTTTCAGCATGCATATATCCATCTCCCTCGCACTTCCTTTAGCTGAGTTTTTCTCTGGTTTTAAATTAATGTTAATTGAAATTGAAAATAGACCACACTTTCGTTGCAATTAACTTGCAGTACCAAGTACTTAAAAGGCTGCCCCCTAACAAGCCAGTTATTCATTTAATTGAAAAGCTTTAAACTCTGTACTTTTTTTACAAAACTTGTATGGCTAATTATTTTTGCAGCTGCAAATGCCGCACGATAAAGTTAACTCTTAGTTGGCACTGGAATCCTGAAATGTGTGTGTATATTTATTTGAGGAGAGCAGAAAGCGATAGAAAAAACTTTGTTTGCTCTATCAGCTGCGGCTTAATGAGTGCCACTCGTTGCTATTTCTGTTTCCTGTCTGTCTATATGTCTTTATGTCTGCGGTCTGCAGTTTTAACTTATTGAATTGACAACAGAGACACCCGACCAATGAACAGAGAAAAGTTGGCTGCAAGTTTTAATTCCGCCGAGCTGGAAAAGCCATCATCTATGCCATTGTCAACTTGGGAGAGTGTGTAGTGTGTGTTTTAGGAGGTGGCAACACATAATATTGAAAAGAAAAGTTCTAGTTTAACTGAATTCTGAGCCCAGCTTCTTTTTGTTGCCGGCATTTTCAACGCGACCTTTTAGCGATCGCACAGCCAAATTGGGCAGACAACCGCGTTTCTGTAGATCATCCAGCTTGACGGTGATCACCGTATCGATTTCCTTCTGCCGCTGAGCCTCCGCAGCCCGCTCCCTTTCAAAGGCCAAGTGCTCCTCCTCAAGTTCCCGTCGACGGGCCTTTTCGCGCTCCTCAATTTGACAGGCGACACTGGTGCGCAGACAGGCCTTTTTCACCGCCTGTTCGTCGGCCTCGCGCTTCATTTGATCCTCCAGCTTGGCCCGATACGCGATCATTTCCTTGAGTTCCCGCTCACGTTGCACATAATAGCAGGCCTTCATTTGGCTCAGGTGATCCATTTGCTCCATATTCGCACGCTTCAGTTCGGCGGCCATTTTCCGCTCCTTCTCGGCGGCCTGCCGTTCATTTTCCCGGTACTTCCGCTCGAGACGCTCGTGCTCCGCAAGGAAATGCATCTCCTCGCGATTATCCTTGGCGTCGAGGATCTTCTGGCCCACGGCGAACAGGACATCCCGCTTGCGCTTCTCGTCCGCCTCGATGGCCTCGCGTTCCGCCCGCTGCTGTCGCAGCTCCTTCTCCTTGAGCTTCAGATACTCGTAGGCGCGGTTCTCGTCCCTCTGATCCTGTTCGCACATCATGCGCACGAAGTTCCGATGCAGCTTGGTGTACTTGTTCAGTTCGTCGCGATAGGCCAACTTGCGACGGGATCGCGACTCTCCCTCCGCCGCCTCGGCCCTCTTGTACTCGTCGACGGCGGCCCGCAGATCGCGAGCCTCCATTCGCAGGCGATCCTGGGCCAGGAATCGCAGCTTCTCACGATCGCTGATCTGTTCGCGAACTGCGTTGCCGAACTGCCGGCGGCGCTCCTCCTCCGCCTGATCCTGCTGCTCCACGGTGCCCCACTTGGCGTTGTTGTAGTCGCGGTTCTTGCGCGCCATCTCCTCATCGTGATCGAGTTGGATGCGCTTGAGGAGCTTGCGCTCCTGAATCTGCGCCGTCCACATGGCACTGCACTTGGCCTCGGAAATTGCTCGAGTGGCGTCCTTTACCCGCACATCAGACTCGTATTTGGCATCCAGGGCGCGGTGGAGGACCTGCAATAGGGAATATCTTAGATTAGAGCGATATATAAAGCGTCGATTTTTATGTGTATCGTATCGAATTTTATCGATATAAGCATATAAAGCCGATATAAAAAGAGAAATTTGTAGTCCTCATATCCTTATTTAGTTATTGAAATGTTGAACTTTCAATATTATAATCGATTTTTACCGATTGACAAATATAAAATCGATATTTATAATTATAAATAAATAAAATGTGATATTAATATTTAAAACGATATTTTTATCGAGCCAATCAATTGTTTCGATTTTAATATCAATAGTTCTTCTTCTCGATAGTGCAACAAACTCACCTGCCATCTTTTTCAAGGCCAAGAATGATTTTCAAAATTGCAGTATTAGAATCGATTTTTTAAATTGTGATATTAATATGTAAATCGATATTTTTATCGCACCAAGACACCAATCGATTTTTTCGATTTTAATATCGAAAGTTATTCTTAACGATAGAGCAACCAACTCACCTGCAATCTTTTGGCCTCGACTCGCCGCTCTTCGTTCACATCCTCATCGGCCTCGTCATCGTGCCGCTTCTCGGTTTCCCGTTCCTTTTCCCTCCGCTGCTCGTCGATGTCGTGGAAATAATTACGCATTCGCTCCGCCTCGGCGGTGTGATATTGCTGCTCCTCCATCCGGCGATCCTGTTCCGCTCGCCGTTCCTCGGTGGTTCGCGGCCTCGACGCCCTCATGCGATCCAATTCTCCCGGCGATACTTCCGCATAGCCCTTGGACTCCCACGATTGACCCTGGATGTGAAAGAACGTGGCCTTGGCTCCGTCGTATTTGCGATTGCGCGGCGGCGCCTTTCCACCGCCCACCGGCGAACGGGTGACCTTTTGCCCGGGAATTACCACCGGATTCGGTTCCCTAGTGCCCGGCGGCAAAGGTCGCCTGGTCACCTTTGGATTTACGGGCTTATCCCTGCGAACGCCGCACTTTCGCTCCTCCTCGATGGTCGATAACTTTGGCGCTTCCAAATATATCGGTTTCTTCAGGCGATCATAACAATCCGCATGCAGCTTCATGGCGGCCCGCGAACGACATGGCATCACCATCGGCATCTTGGCGAAATATATTTGTATATTTATTTTTTGCAATAGCAAATTATTGTGCCCTTTGTCTTTTCGCGTTGTGTTCTCCTGTCGTCGTCGTCGTCGTCTGTTTGTGTTTTGTTGCTCGAAGGCTGTTGTTTTGTTTGCTTGTTTCGTTTGTTTATTCAATCGAATCTGGCAAGTTAAATAGACATATGCCCACAGCTTGCTGGGAATAGCTGAATTACAGGGTATTTTTTTTGGGACAAAGCAGGGAATATTTCCATAAAAAATATTAAAAGTATCAATAAATAATGGACTCATGTATCGGAAAGTATTACAATGGGTACCAACTTGAAAATTCTTTAAAAAATTGATTTATAGTGGATTTTAATAGTTTTGGTTTTTTCAACAGCTTTAAACTAAGAGAGTTGCTAATGATATGTACCCCTCTTCAGTGCCAAAATATATATTTATTTAAAAAAACCCTAAAATGTGGTCACCAAGCTTCTTGGCAGCAATTTAAACTCAAGTACAGTGTTCCTACCTGTTAACGCCTGACCACTTGAGTGTCGTTTTTGTCGAGTGGCAGGTGAGAAGAAAATACCAGCGGAAAGAGGAAAATGGAAATGTGGAGAGGGAAAAGGGAAAACGGGGAAAAAGGGAAGCTGCTGCATTTACTTCCGTCTGCTTTGGCTGCATTCGAAGGCGTTGATGCTTGCATTTTGGAATAGCCCCGACAATTTGCATTCTTTGTGTGGTGCCACTCCCATATTCCGCCCTCCTATTCCCCCACTAACGCCCACAACCACCCCCTCAAATTCACCCCACAGGCAGGTGGCATGAAAATTTAATTACACGCCTCGCTGAAACGCTGTGGCTAAATCTAGGGGTCGGTGGAATTTCTTTTATAATATTATTTCTATTTTTTTTTGGCTGGAAACCTCTTTGCCTCTTGTAGATTAGGCTGGCGGAAAAAAGGATAATGGTGGAAAATGGTTCAACATTTTTTAAGCCGCGCCATTCTACCACGGCCTCTTGAGAAATGCTCGGAAAATATAATGGCAAAATTCATCATATTTCCTGCGAAAAAAATAGGGTCCTTTAGTTTTGGGACCCAATTTTTTGGCTTGCTTGATGTGTTCAAAAAATACTAAATTTGGTATTTGAAAACAGTAGCCTTTATGAAATGATAAAATATCAAATTGATTTGTTTGAATCATAAATTTTACATTAATCATATCGGCTTTTTAATGATATAAAAAAATAAGGTAGAAATGACCCCATATTATATTGAATTTTTTTTCTGTGCGTGCACTCGATACTCTCGACCAAGTTGAAGTCAAGAGAGAGTCATCTGTCGAAAGTTGAGTCGGAAACCGAAGCCAGTGACTCAATATCCAGAGCCTCTAGTGTTTGTCTTGTCTATTTGTGTGGCGGTTGTCAGGCGCACAAAGACACATCTCCTTCGATATTCGAGATGGCGGTGAGATGGTGTGGCGGCCGTGGGCCAAATGAAGGCTTCACCATGGACAACCGCCGACCAAATGGCCCGTGGGTTCTCCGAAATATTCCGCCACAATATCGTTTACTCCTCGTCTCTGTGTGTGTTCTTCATCGAACTGAGCAAGAACATTTTCCCATAAATATGAATTTTTGTTTATTTTTTTTTTTGGTTCGGCTAGCAGCTAAAAATCATATTACATATACGGCATATCTCGCCCCCGCAAAAGCAAAAGCAAAACTTTCTGCACATTTCAATGGCAATAAAAGTGATTTAATAAGGCGCAAAACAGCACAACAAAGGGGCAAACGAAAAAAAGTAGGGAAAGGAGGGAAACCAGAAAAACGAAATCAATTTGATTTGTCGCCACAGACGACGATGGTGGGCGGCGATGCCACGCCCATTGCGTGTGATTAAGTGCGCGTTTAATGTGCACGCCATGGCCATAAAACAAATTATATGCAATCCTGCCACCGAAAGCTTTCGCAATTCACTCCCCACAACTCTGGAGGAGATTTAGTTGACCCCATCTACGTATGTATGCACAGGAAATAAAATTCGGTATGAAATAGGGTAATATTTACCTTATTTCATATCAATAAAATATGATTAATGTCAAATTTCAGATTTAAGCATATCAACTTGACTTTTTATCATATCAGTTATTTCATAAAAATAATAAAAATACTATTTTAAAATACCACATGTAGTATTTTTTGAACGAATAATGTAAAATAAGATCAACATAATCTTTATTTATATCAAAATGATATTAAAACCTTGATTTTGTCCCTGCACATATCAATCTGATCTTTTTTGAATTTTTTTCTGTGTGTCTGCGTATTGTCCTACCCCTGGTTGTTGGTTGCTTATCCCTCCTCATACGCAATCCTTCTCTATTTGAGAGTTCCGTAACTGATTTCGACCCGTTGGGTGAAGGCTAAAAACTTTTACCGCTCTCCGCCTGCGTGAGCGCTTTGAAATGTAAATACGGCTCATTATTTCCAATGCCTTGCCATTCATTTGCAAAGTTTCCAGTTTGCCCTGGCCCACACAGACACATCATGTGTGTGTGTATGTAAGCACACACTAGTGGACCTCACATACGCACAGTCACCATGGGATAATTTCCGGTTCACCAGAACTCAAATTTTTGTCATTAAAAACAGGAGCGAAGTAAGGAAAATAACTTTGCTATCATAAAAATACCTTTTGTCGAGGATCTATCGAATGTTGTTGTAATAAATATTTAAAATCGATAAGTTATCAATTCCAAGTTATCGATAATTAATTTGACAATTTGAGCGACTTAGTTATCGATTCATTTGGTTACTTTAAAACTTTTAATTTAAAATTTTACTGATGTAGCAGGAAATTATGATACGTAAATCAATGATTTAATTATTGCAAAGTTATCAAACTTTTCCATAATATAGATCGATAAATTGATACATTTGTTCTATGCGATGTTAAGGAAAACTTTCTGTGGTTTGCCAGAAGTTCCTCAAACATTTAAATGAATTAATGTGATGTGCACTTTGCAACCCACTGTGCGATCGGCCAGGACTCTTTGACTACAGGTTCACCTTTAATTAACTGTAATGCCATCAGGCGGCAGGACATCCGTTGGTCAACGTGTGTGTAATGCCCCTTTGCTTTGCCTTTTACGGTTGCCTTTTCCATTACCAGAAAATGAGCATGTGTGTGTGTGTGTGCGAAGGGTTTATTATTTTCACTTAATTTTTGCCAGAGTTTTTTCCGTTTTCTTGTTTTTTTTTTTTTTTTACCCCTGGAACTTTCTGGACCAGACCGTTCGTCCCCAAATGGCAAATCATCACAGCTAGACAGAAAAATAAGAGAAAGAACGAAAAGGCCTTTCGAAGTCGAAGAAGACGAGAGCCAAGAAACGGAATGTGGAATCTTGTTTGTATAACCAGAGCTGCGGCAAAATGTTGTTCAAATTGACTTGGGTTGGGGGTTCGGATGACTCGGCAGGTGGATCGTAATGTCCTTCCTGGGTGGAAAATGGGAAAAAAGAGAACCGGGCTTCCTGCCAAAAAGGGACAAAGTCAGCGACAAAAGGAATGTTTCGCCTGGTGCACAATGGCAAATAATTCATAACTTGGCTCAGAAGTTTGATTTAGCTGCAGTTAATACACTGGGCTTCCCCCTTCTCTCCTCTCCTCTTCTGTCTGTTGCCTATAAATACATATATATTTTTTTTGTTGGCCCATGTGGCCCATCTTCAAGTTCCACCGAACATATATTTCAGCCTCTCTCATCCCGTTTGGCCATACGTCGGTTTGCATAAATTTTACCCATGGCCAAAGAGGACTCGCAGAACGTAGGACTCCTGTTGACAGGAAGGATTCCCTACTCTCCCCTCCAGCAGATAAATTACGCTCCAAGCGACCAGGACCAATGGAAGCGGAAGAGCCAACGGATGACGGCTGGCAAAGCCCAAAGCCAAAGCTGTAGGAAAAGCTATGGCCAAAGTCAGAGGAACCGAGGAGCACCAAGGACTGCCTGTCTGACTGTCCGACTGTCAAGCATTTGTATGCTTATTTTTCTTCAACTGTAACTGCTGCCAGGACTTAAAAAACAAACACACACACACACACATGTGAGGAGTCCTTTGGTCAGGCGGCAAAAGTTTCCACTTGGTCTTGCTTTGGTTTCAAGGAACAAATTCTTTGGTGCATTTCATATCAAAGTGGAATACAGGAGTTTTAAGGTTTTAAAAGTTATTTCGAATCTGTTGGCTTGGCTTTGGTCAGACTACTAAGTTTATGTCAATCGGGAAGCATTAAAATAAGGATATATTTTCTAAATCTTCATTCAAGTTTAATCACCACAATAAGCTCAGTTTTGCTTTACAACTTTTAATTCATATTTTAGGAATAGTTTGTTAGGAATTGTATTACAAAAGGGTAGTAACTTTATAGATTTATACATTGAACCCCAGGTTAAATTAATATGGATTATTTAACCTATGAACCTAAATGAATGCCAAGGTTATCTATAATTTAAACTTTTAATTTATATTTTAGGTATAGTTTTTTAGGAATTGTATTACAAAAGGGTAGTAATATTATAGATTTATACATTTAACCCCAGGTTAAATTAAAATGGATTATTTAACCTATGAACCTAAATAAATGCCAAGGTTATCTATAATTTAAAATTGAATAACCTATAACCTATAACTTGCGGTAGCATTAAAAATGCATGTATCAAAAATCTATCAATTTGTTGTTAACTATTTTTTTAATCGGAAAGCAGCGTACCGGAAATTCTCGAGAACTGAGAACCCAGATAGAACCCCTGTCAGTTTGTTGACTACCTCCATATGACCCTCTTTCCATTCTCTGTCTCTTTCTCTTTCCGCAACCCCTCTCTCTCTCTCTCTTTTTCTTTCTGTTTGTAGCGTCTGTTGCTATTTTCTCAATGCCTTCAAAATGGCACACGGAAGCCGAGGCGTCTGCTATAAATTTTTAACAACCATTTAACTTGAATTTTATTAGTCCCCAGTCAGCGGTCAAAAGTTCGAGGGGATGTGTGGGGGGCAACGGAAAATACTGAATATACGGAATATACGACAGAATGTGGCAGTTGGGGGCGTGACGGATGCTCTCAGTGGTTGTCATGTTGCCTTCTTGGAATATGCTCGTATTTTTCGGTATACAAAGTGCCCAAATGCTGGCCACAAAGTCATCACAATGACATTTTGCATTTCGCATTTCGCAGTTCATTTCTACTCGTCGTCGTCTCATCCTCTTCACTTCTTTATGGTGTTTTCGCTGCCTACTTTCTGCTGGTTATTGATAGTCCTTATAGGGGGGTCTATGTTTTCTCTCTCTCCCTCTCTCGTTCTGTCTCTGTCCTGGCCATAAATTATATATGGTCCAAAGTAGTAGTGACTTGTGGGTCACTTGTTTTGCTGCAGCTTCAGTTGTTCGCCTGCCGTTGACCGATAACCATGTAATTCTCCTCCTATTTTCTTTTTTACCACTTCTATATAGTTTGTTATTATTTACTGGTTGGCAAATTGTATTGCAAAGTTTTTTTTTTGTGATTGGTTTTGTTTTTCGGTTTTTGTGGGTTTTTCCTTTCTCGAAAACAATCGGAAAAGAAAATCGAAAAATCGTATCCTAAAAATTACTTGCAGTTGAGTAAAATGTGCGCTGTTGACAGACTAAGAAAAACAATAACCACAACAAGAAAAACCAAACAACTCGAGTGAAACAAACAAAAAAAAAAAAAAACAACAAGAAATATCGATTAAAATACAAATTAAAAGGAAAACCAAAATCAACGATTATAGCGATAAGCGATAACGAACAAACGACGTACCGATAACACGATAACGATAACCACAAACCCCCGCCATGGACTCGCTGGAGCGTCTAATGCGAGCGGCGCCTCTGCCCCGAATGTTGACCAGCGGCGTTGTGGCAACAGCCGCTGCCGCCGCAGCCGCCGCCGCCGGCAAGGGCATGGTCAATGTGGGCGGCGGTGGCACAGCAACAGTGGCCGCCGGCGGCGGACAACAGAGGGCGCTGGTCCATGCCTCGCTGGCGGCGGCGACGGTGGGTCGCAAGGGACGCCACCTAACGGGCACCTTCTGCCTAACGGGCGACACCATGGAGGGCATCATACAGTGTTTGGTATTTCTCAAAGCATTCTCGGTAAGTCGTGCAGTGGGGGTATCAGTGGTATCAGTATCCGAAAAATAAAAATTCCACAGAGTAGAGATCAAGGGAGAGAGACCGAAAAATCCATACACACATCCCAAACATCCGAAAACCCCACCCACCCCCACATTTTCATCCCCCCATGGCACAATTCAATTTAGTTTTCGGTTTGCGCTCGACTAAGTTTTTCTTTTTTTTCTCCTTATTTCTCTTTTTTTTTGGACCTGCCATCAAAATGTGCAATAGGCTGTAAATAGGCAAATACATTTCGCATAGCCCTGCCTGTGGCAAGCTGATTTTGGGATTTTATAACTAAATTTTTGCCAGGCATGCATGGGGAGCACCTTTGACCTAGTTTATGGGCCCTTTTTAAACCGACAACCATAAGCCATTCCCCATCTCCCAGCCTCCGAAAAAAAGGGCTCTAATAAAGATTTTCAGCTTGTCTACACAAATTTTTGACCCACTCACTAACGCCTTTTCCCTCTCTGTTTTTTCCTCTACTTACAGGTAAGTCCGTCGAAGCGAAGATAATGAAGAGCAAATACCCAACAGATTTATGATTCTCAGTCCCAATCTCGCAAAAAAAAATCAGGTATTCCAGGTATCTGGACAGTTTTGTTGACTTGTGCTGTGATTTGTGTCCGGAAAATGGCTCTGAATAACATGGAAATCAGATTGAAGTTTTGAAATTTTCATTTAATGCCCTGGCAGTTGGCCCACTGGGCGGATGAGTGATGTTAATTGAATTAGCTATCCGACAGAAATTCAAATAGACATATACTATGTTTATACGATAGCAATCACGATTTCTTGAAAGCGCGATATAGAAATTGCCCCTGTTTATACGACAGCCGAGAATTCATGCTTTTATTCACTCTCAGCTGATAGGGATGCCGGACCGGTAAAAATATATAATTTTTAATACCACTGATTAGAGAAATGGCCTATAAAAGGCCTTCAATTTCTAGCGATCTGGCAACGTCAATCATTTTTTACAGAGTTACCAGATTGCATATCATCAAATCACGCTTTTGGGCTGAAATCATAGTCAACTTTCGTGTGTAGCCGAATTCACGAAATGGCGTTTATACAAGCACGAATCGGCCGAAAGCGTGAAATGATAGCGTGAATTCGGCATCGTATAAACACAGTAATTGACGTTTAATGGATTTTTCGTTTAATTATTGCGTTGATGATATGTTTTCAAATATTACGTTAAACAGTTTTGTTTTTAAACATATCTTTTTTAACAAGTAAACTTAAATTTAAAATAATATAATAATAATAATATTTACCGATTGATTAAAGGATGACGATTATTTTCCCTTAAAGTTATAAGCTATTTTAATTTGATATATTTAAAACTTTAAAGCGTTCTGAAAATTTATGAGATTGTAATTTGGAATCAGCATCCCTAAATCAGCCTGTATTCCTTTATTATGATTTTTGCTGGTATTTTTGTCCATTGCCTTTTGGCCCGGGGCTTAATTGCAGGCGCTATATACGGGGGGTTTGAGGAATGTCGGCCTGGAAATGCACTTAGCACCCAATAGGTTTCAGGGAAACCTCGCCATGAAAGCAGGGGAAAGAGACGGGGATAGGGGAGCAGAGTGAGACGGCGACAGAGACGTAGACCGACATCAAGCGCCTGCGGCAATTGCAGGCCCATTAAAACTGACACATTGCGATTGCTTTCTCCCTTCTTTTTTTGCTCTCCTCTTTTTTGGCCAAGGCTGTGAAAAATACAACAAAAAAAAGGAAAAAAAGTTGGTAAAATCGAAAGAAACGTAAAAAACACAGACACGCCTAAAAGGGCGGAGATGGAGATACATTTACTTTGTTGCCATAAATAAAAGGCAAATGAACCGACTAACAGGTACCCCTTAAATTTACTGGATAAACATTTTGTCGTTTTAATTAATAAATAAAAGCATTATAGTAAAGCTTAATTATTAATTTTTGTAATTTAATAAACCAGTTATTTTTTTCGGTGTGGCCATGCCCCATTTGAAATCGGCGAGAGACTTTTCACGCATCGTTAATTTCTCCCTTAGGCCTCGACTCTATAGTTCCGTCTCTTTCGGTTCGAGGGTCTGCCTACTCACTCACTCATTCATTCACTCATTCATTCACTCGTGCATTCAGTCATTCATTCATTCAGCCTGTCAGCCAGTCAGTCTCGCATTCAATCAGCCTTTGGGGCCCGCTGCCTATCGTTATAATGATGTTGCCGGGATTCATCCTTGCCTTTTTGCTTTGACATCAACACCATCTACCATCTACCAAAGTCGTGATTTACTTTCCACCCGCACTTTTCCGCCGCCCACTTTTTCAACCAGCTGTCATCCGCTTTTCTCTCTCTTTCCCACTGTTTTCCTTGATTTTGGTGTGCGTGTGTGAGTTTGTGCGAATTTAAATGTTGCACAAATATGAAAAGCAATTTACATAATATCCTGCCAAGTGTAAAATGATTGTCAATTCTGTCTGCCACTGAAGCAAAGCGAATCGAGCGAACGGAACGAAATGGAATGGGTAAAGAAGGGAAACAGAAGTGGGAACAGAAGGGGAACAGAAGGGGAACAGAAGGGGAACAGAAGGGGATCGGAAGGGGAATGAAACCACACTAACCGTGGAAAATGGTGGCCTTAAATCGCTCCGATTGGATTCCACTTTATTTCTCCCTCCCCAACTCAATAATCCTCCGAGGTTGAGTGATAAATGGAGTAATATCGATGGTCTATAAGGAAATGACATAAATAAGGAAAAATTATGGGGGAAAATAAGGGAAATGTAGTTATAATTGGATTATTCAAGCGCCTGCTACTCGTTGAAAATAAATTCTTGAAATTCAAAATACCGACTTCTTTTTTCTTTAAAGAAGTTAATTTTAAAACAATATTTTGTACAAAATTACATTGTAAATCGCACACTCAAATTTCTTTTGTCCTCTAGAGTGGTTGGGTATCACAGAAATAAAAGAAAACTCGAGAGTCTGTGCTGGTGGGCGTCATAATTATGGGGACACTCGAGATGAGAATTAATTACACAATTTGTGAGCGAATCGAAATGAGACGAAGACAAGGCCCGCCGCATTAATTAGCGTTCATCAATCATGTTTGACCGCAGTAACAGCAGTGGAGTCGGTGACCAAGGACACTCGAGCTATCAAACACCCAGGCCAGCCCACCGCCCACAAGATCCTGCAGGACATGTCTCCTTTGCCGATGTCTGGTGCAAATATTGCGCAATTTGTCGTCATTATCCAGGATATTGAACCTCATAATGTGCGTCGACATCATCAATTTCAAAACGACTAAGGGGGTTGTATGACAAGAGTCATCTTTAAAAGACTGATGTCAAAAATGTAATAAGAAAATAAGCTTATCTCGGCCAGCCGAAGCTTATATACCCTTGCAGATAATTTCTATTAAATTATAAAATTTACAATTTTGAATTATTTTGACATGAATTTTTTTATTCTTCCTTGGGCAACTATATATTCGAAATTCCGAAATATTAATATATTTGATACTTCAAAGTGGTTGGCACAATGCGCGTTCTGAAAGGGGAAACTTTCAACCTACGTGTTCATATGAAACCAATTAGTCAAGTGTCCCCGCTTAAATAAATAAATCCTTAATTTTTTCTGAGGTAAAATGACGCTCAATTAGCCAGCGCCACTGAATTTTATTTCAGAATTGATATTTGAATTCTTTTTTCACTTGGTTTCCCATTCTGTGCTTAATTTTATGCGCCTTTTTTCATATGCTTCCTCGCAGCTGCGTTCATCACTAAAAACAAAGAAATATTTTATTTTTAACAATGAAGATCATATTTTCGACGCATTTACTTTAATGGTTTGAGCAATATGTCATGGCAGTCGGCGAATTCCAGTAAGTGTGCCGTATCGTATGTCTCAAGGCACAGTCCGCCGGGTCCCACAAACTCCCAATCTTTGAGGTCCAATTTGAACTTTTCGGCAACCGCATCCATCAGGTGTTTATATGGCGCTCTCTTGCCCATTGCATACCGTTGAATTGTCAAACGCCAGGTACTCTCTATAATCACGCTAACGGTCATTTGCTTCTTGCCCGACTCCATTACTCTTGCTCGCTTTCGATTGACTGATGAAAAATGAAAATCAACCAGCCCAATTGATGAGATGCAAAACTCTTGGCCTACTTGAATGGATTTTAATGACATATGCCAGTTTTAAATAACAAACCTTTGGAAATATCATAGTAAATGTGTTGAAAAATGCCAGTATTTTAAGTGTTTAGATATTCGGATATCAGAACAAATTTTTTGCATACTTTTTAATAGTGTCATGAATCCATGATACTTTCTGTGTGATTTTGAAAAACTAAAATTAAAGCCAATTTTTTAAAATATTTTCATAAAAGGGTACATTATGATTTCTTGCAAAAAAAGGACCAAAAAAAAAATGTCCATGTTTAAATGCCAATTTGAAATTTAATAACGAGTTTAGGAAGGTATGACAATCCATATTTGGATCAAAATTTGCGGTGTGTCGGCCAAAAAACGGTTTTTTTTGGAAGTTTGGGTTATAAACATAATATATAAATAGAAAATGTCGCAGTATTATAAAAATAGATTTAAAGTACTTCACAGTTATTCACAGATTCTGTTTATTAAATGGCAGGATGTAAAGACAATTGTTAATGGCACAACGTGTAAGCCCTTTTCCTCGGGACTTTGCTCCTTTCTTCCTTAGGATTTTCTTTCACCTTTTCCCATGGACTTTCCCCATTTGAACAGGTGAGACGCGAACGTGATGCTTGAATCTATGCAAATTTGCGTACACTCCGAATGCGGCAAACATGCACAAACACCGCGCTCCCTTTTCACCCCCCATTCACCCCCTTTTCACCCGTTCTAAAACCCGTTTTAAACCCCCTATCCACTGACGGTTGTGCATCATCAGCAACCCAAACAGAATCGTTAAGGGGGCTTGTTCCACTCGTGTTGCTGTTGCTGTTGTTTGCTTTTGAGGCCTTTCAAGCACTTGCTTATTATGCAGTCACGTGTATGTGTGTGTTTGGTGTGTATGTGTGTGTGCATCTGCATCTGCATATGTGCGAGTGTTTGTTGCCAGTGGCACAATTTGAACAATAAGTTGGCCCGACTGTTGAAGCATTCTGTCTGCCACTCAGCCGTCTGCATTTCAAAACTTAAACAGTTTATTAAGCGCAAACTAAAACCATAAAACAAATATTCAGACAAATACACTGAACGGAATTGTAAAGTGTCAGCAGGATGTTTAGTTATCGTGTGACCAAGTTTATAAAATACTTTCTGTATTTACATAAATCTATGTGTCACTTTAATGGTCTTCAAAGTTTTCCTTTTAATTATAAGATTTTTTTTCTATGTTATCGGTATTTGTATTTGGCATTGTTGCATAAGGAGTGATGCAAATAAACAAAAATGAAAAGATGCCAAAATTTGAAGTGTAAAAGGAGAATTTATTTTGTGGAGAGTAAATAAATGCACTATTCAAATGTGAACCAAGACCAAAATATCATTTAATAAATACGAAATGTACTTTAACAAAAGCGTTTAATAAGTTTCAAATTCTACACATATAAATATATTTCAAAGTAGTATTCTAGATGCAAGTCATTCTGGGAAAACGTGATTGTTTTCTAAAATGCAGTCGACTTCAGTAGCCCAAATTATATTCCTAAAAGAAAACAAATATTGGAATGGCAAATTGGAGAACCTCTTCTGCATTTCTAGCAATTCTTCGTTGTTTTGTTTTTTTCTCGTTTCGGTTTCGTAGAGGAGCTCCTGCAAATGGCAACAGGATCAAATAGTTGGCAGGACCGATTCAATTTACGAGGCGAATGCCTTTCCTCACATTTTGGCACTTGAAATTCATTGTCTGTCTGGAAAATGTTGTCAAGAATCTGGCAATTTCGCTAGTGTGTGTAAAACCAAAAAAAAAAAAGAGTGAAAGAACGAGTAAGAGATAGAGATAGAAAATAGAAAGAGAGGGTAGGCACACATACATATGGCCCATCATCTATCTGAATGGATATCGCGCGGCCCCGTTTGGTGCCATCTATCTAGTTATCTATCTCCAGCCATCTCTTTTTGGCCACTCTGGCCGTCCTTTTCTCTCCCCGCCACTCGGTGTAGTGCCATCTCTTTCGCTCACTGTGTATTGTTGCACGTACATGTCGTAGACTTTGTCTTTTGGAATAAAACTTCACTAAAAAATGAGCATGGCATGGCGTTGAGCATTTAAACTAGCTACAAAAACACCAGCAACACCTAGCATTTTTGCAACATCACGCCCCCTTGCCGCCTCTTTTTTACCTACGTGATTCGCATGCAGAAAATGGACACGTGTGTTGGTGTATTTTCTATATGGTGTCGTTTTTTTCTCCTATTTTTTTTTGGTTTAAGGGTGTGTGTGTGTGCGGTTGCCAAGACAAAATGCGGCTAATGTCCCTACTCTATACTTTTTTTTAGATTTAAAATACAGCGAAACATATCTATATAAATTATGCAATTCTTTGTTGTGGATTTTATGGCACTCTGGCCGTGAAAGAACTTTATCCGGGAAAAAAAAGAAGAAAAAAGCTCAACCAACGCTTAAAAGTGTGCTACAATTTTTGCTCAACCACTTAAATGGGGTGGCGGAAAAAAATCTAGAAAAAAGAAAATAAATAGAAAGAAGGAAGGGAGAAGCTGAGAAGGGAGAGTAGTTAAACAGGGAAACTTATTTCGTTGCTGTCGCTAATTTGGCTCAGCATCAGCCGCAGCAACATCTAGCGCATAATAATTGCCTACTCGCACAAGACTCGCTAATTGGCAGCAATTTTGCCAGCTTCCACGTTCTCAGCGGTTCGGTGGTTCGATGGTAGCCCATGGACTCAGGGGCTCGGTGGCTCAGTGGGTGGTGCCAAGGCATCGGTGGCTGAAAGCTGGAATTTCGGTTTTCAGCAATTAGCAAAACTTGCACTAATGGCCAAGAAATGTTTGCCTTTGCCAGTGGCAAATTGGAAATCCTGCCTCTTGCATTATTATTATGGATGTAGGTTTCGGTTTCGGATTCTGTAGGTTGATGGAATTATATCTCAAATTACCTGTTTCTCAAATAGCTCCTTGTTCTTGAATATTTTCTCTTAAAGTATAACATTAATATAAAGATTCGATTGTCATTCGTGTTATCCTTGAGTCTTATTCCGCCACATTTTTTTTTTCTAGAAAGAACTTCATCTCTCTGGGCTCTGTAATCGTATAGAAGAAAGTAGAAGAAAGGCAAGGCGAGTCCAAAGTAAATTATAGCACATAGCTTGTGCCACTTTCTCCTCTTACTTTTGACATTTATGCTGTGTACAGCGGAGTGTGTGGAATTATTTTGGGTGGTCGGTCCGCAGAAACTTATGCCAATTCATTAATTAGTCTGCCACTTGCCACGGAAAGCAGCGACAGCTTGACAAACTTTAACCCACCGAGTCTGTGATATTTTCACACAGAAAGAAAGCAAATATTTTGTAATATTTTATATTTTTTTTAAAATTTTTTACCATTTATTTTCAATTAAAACATTGTTCTAAAGAATTCGCGTTTTAGATTTTTGATCGTCTTTACTTAATAACGTTTTTGTTTATTAACCATTTGGTCGCATATTATTTTCTCAGTGTAGCCGCACATGTTTCGTTTGCCTTTCCTTGTGCAAATTTCAACACGAAGTGTGTAACTCGATATGACCTTCTACTTAATAAAGGCTCTTCATATTGCCGCACTGGACATGAGTCCTTATTGTTGCTGCCGTGCTGTTGGTGTTGCTGCTGTTGGTGTTGCTGCTGTTGCTGCTGCTGCTGCTGTGTTTTGCCATCGCATATATTCCATATGGGCACTTCCAAAAAAAAGTCCACCAAGCCAAAAACCTTGAAACTTGAATAAAACATATTTCCACATGATTTTGCCCCGATATTAGTTTCTAATTAGTTGGATACTGAGCTTAACTACAAATTTGGAGTATAGTTTGATTTATTTTATGACAAACCCCACCAATATACGCAAAAAACCGTTTTTGGCTATTTTTTTGTTATTTTTTGGACCTGTCTTCTGTTGTAAATTTATCCTATAGGAATGCTCATATGTGACAATTTTCTGTACTGAATGCTTCATTCACATGCTAAACTATTAAGTTAAAAGCAAAACATACAGCAATTGAGAGATAGAGGTAAAGAAATTCGCTTTACAAAACAGTCGGAAAAAATGTCCCGAGCGACATGTCCCGAGCGAATGTGGTTGAAACTGCATAAAAAAAAAAACGGCAAAAAATTTTTGAGTAAAACCAAAAGCATTTCACAGCGACATGTTTGAACAACATTCTAAAAAAAATCGCATTCAAATATTCCATCAGAATTTGCTAATTTCTGGTGTTGTATGAACTTCCCCGAAATCCACTTCTATTTTTGTCCCGAGCGAATACGGCAGTTTTTTACCGATATCTTAAAAACTAGAAGTGGTACAAAATCAAGATTTTTACCAAAAATAGAGCTTGGGAAGAGTGAAAAGAAAAGCCCATAATTAAAATTAAAATCCATTGTTTTACAATTTTTTTTCAACTTTAAAGGTGTGCAAATGTCCCGAGCGACATTTTGGAAGTGCCCATATTCAATGCGCGTGGCCATCGCCTGATCCCAGGACATAGGACATATAGCCCATCCAGCTCCATTCTGTTGACTCTATTGCTGTTGTGTTCATCGCCTCAAGTTGGTTCAGTTTATTTGATTAGTTCGTGTGTGTGTGTGTGCTTACAGATATGTGTATTTTGTATCTGTGAGCTCCATTGTCCATGTATTAGTGTTGCCACGGCCGATAAAGTTTCAGCAGCTGCAAATATGGCAAACAATTTCACAAAGTGGCCAATGGCAAAAGTTTGCCACTGCCAATCGTCTTATTAGCTAATCGTTGACTCTGCTCCTTCCCTTTCTCCTTCTCTCTCTCATTTAGTTTCATTCTCCCTTCTTTCTTTTCTCATTTGGCACCTAATTAGTTGACTTGTCCAAGCAACTGACTAAAAGGGGGGTTCGAGGAATAAGATCCAATGAATTGTCTTAAATTCGCCCCTTGGCTGGCTTTAATTCATTGTATTCAATTAAGGGCGAATTTCTAATCCCATTTAAGATGCTCAATTCCAGACTTATTAAATGTGTATGCTCCTATAATCGTTAACTGATTTTAG